GATCTTCAAGTTCCCTTCCAACCTAAATCATTCTATGATTCTATGAAATTCACAATCAGATTGCTGAAGTCCACTGAAATTCATTCAGCCAATTCTTAGAACTTTGCAAGTAAATAATGCAATTATCAAGTCAAGAATGCTTAAAACAATGCATAAATGTATTTTGAATGAAGTTGAAGGTTATGAGGTATTAACTCAAGCCTGGTGTGGCTTTCACGCTTAAAAGTACAGAAAAACTAAATGGGCGGATATAGTCCCTGCAAAAAGTACAAAGCAAGTTCTTGGGAAGACGAAAGAAAAATCAGGCCCATATGACATCAGCTTGGGTTCCAGCTCACAGAGATGTATTTCCTCTGGCATCCTGCCTTGCCTGTCCCAGTTCTCCAACCTTTTGACCAAGTCAGAGATACAATCACTATTTTCATCTTAATTTCACTCGCGTCTTCCAGTTTGTTCTTAGCAGCAGGCGCTAGAAACGCATGAGCAGGCTGCTTTTTAGTTTACAATTTGCTAATGCCATATTAGCAGGACTTGGAACTGAAGTTTGAAGGCTGTGCACAAATGCCGCCTGACGGCCCTCAAAAACACTGGTCCTGTTGCGTTCGGTGTGTCTGCGAGCCTTTTCACAGCCTCCTTCTCCTGGCTGCCAGCTCACGCGTGCTGCTTCACCAAGATAAGGGCTGGGGACGGATGGGCTCTGCGGCGGAGCAGCTGGGTGGAATCTTCCTGGCAGCCAGCCCAGCCGCGGCTCCGCTTTAATGAGAGCGTCAGGGTGGGAGCTCACTGACGGCTGGGAGATGGTTTTTCCCGGTGGGAGGTAGAGAAGCGGTGTACGTGAGAAATCCTGCCCTCTAAAAGGACATTCCCATGATTTGGGCAACGAGCCTGTAATTTTAACCAATTATTTATGGCTCTGAAAGCAGCAGTTTAATAAAGATACCGTTTTGAGCTCTGGTTGAATTTTCTGATGAATCAGTCCCAGCTGTTTCCAGCAAAGCAATTTCAGGCACCAAGAAGGAAATTGGGCTTTCAGTGACTGGAGCAGCCCAAGTGGAGCAGGCGCTTTTGTGGGAACTGATAAAGCTGACTTGGGATGTGACGAGAGCAGCAATAGACGATGCGGATGGAGATGACTTTCAGCAGATTATCTCCTTGCTGACCCCAAAATTGTGTACTGATGGCAGTGAAACTTTTAAGTTTACCTTTAAAAAGAGAAATCAGGTGGGGTTTTTTTGCATGCTGCAGCTCCCCATTTGAGAAGTGGAATCTTCTGTATCCTACCGGTTGCCAAATGAAAGGAACAATTAAGGGGCTGCAGTACAAAGCCGGGTAGACCGCACCTCTGAAAGTCACCTGGCAATGCTAAAGGGGCTGCGCTCCTCCTGCGCCTTCTGGGAGGACAAAACACGGAGCACCAGTGAGACAAGCCCACGGTATTTTTCTCAAATGCAGGACCTGGGCTGAGCAGTTTCATTGAATGTGTTTTCATCATTAGATACCATATTAATATGAAAATATTAAAAAAAAAAAAAGGGAAAAAAAAAACCCTGGAGGTGAAAGATAAGGCGTTTGCTCAACTTCTCCTAGGAGTGTAACACACATGCTGCAGTCCTTCAGAAACTGGAATCGTCCTCTCTGTAAAAGCCATAGAAAGCCTTTTCCTATCTAAGGCTGCCTTAAGGCCCAAAAGCTCATGAAATAACGCAAATATACAACTGCGATCAAGAGCATGGAACCACCTCCGCTATAAGATAATAACGCTTTAATGCAAAAGGTCTTCCCACTCCGCAGATTGGCAGGAACTTGTTCTACTGGCATTCTCTCACGACGACGGCCGTCTTCTGGGTCAGTGGTTCACCCTCTACTTCACATCCTGCGTGTTCTTCAGAACAACGTCACAGCAGCTCTGACGAGCGTTACACTGGCTGCTGTGTCAGAGAACAGAGATGCAGCTGGAAAGGCAGTTCTTGCTGGTTTAGATAAGATGTTGCCTTAAATTTAGCTACACTAACAGAAAATATTGCTGTAATTAGGAGATTGCAAGATACAACATTCAAGTACTCACTTTCCCTTTTTTTGTACACCACATTGTATTTTATCAGATGAAAGGTTTTAAATGATTACTAGAGTAAATAAACAGAAAAAGAACATAGTATTTTGTGAAGGGTTATTCTTGGGTCTCGGGAAAGCCCGTGCGTTCTCACGGTGATCTAAGCCTCTCTGCTGCTGCTGGGATAGCTCCGAGGGCCTCAGGGCTTTCAGTAGTGACATCTTGGTGCTTTCGTTAATAGACACAGACTTAATATGCACAGATCAAGAATTATTGAGCCCGGTGGAAAAAAAAACCTAAAACCTACAGTAGGTGACTTGTAACTAGTAATATTAATAGAAGCCCACCCAGAACAGCAACTAAGAGAACTTGTTAAATTTTCAGTGTAATAATATGCTTGTTGGCATGTTTAAATCATCAGGTAATGAGGACCAGTAAGAATTCGCACATCCATCCCCAGCTTGCGAGCAGCTATTTAGACCGAGTTCCTAAAGATCAACATTTTATGTTGCAAACTTTAGTTTTGTGACAAATCTTTCTGATTATTTTAAGCACGTAGGGACATTTGAATAGACAATGTATGCCACAACTCAATCCTCACAGTTCCTAATAGGAAAATTCTTTAAGTCACAGCTTTTATGTTTATTCCCTGTAGACATTTTCTTTTTTCCTTTTTCCAGGTTCAATACCAAATTTAAAGTGCTAAATGATATGATGTTCTTCAATCATCACAAACAGATCTGCATAGCCAATATCCTGACTGAAGTCACCAGCAGGAGGCAAAGTTGTATGTTCTGGGTTTGCTTTTTAATTTATTTTATTTTTAACTTATTTATACAGTGGTAATAAAGTGGTGCTTTACCAACCCTTCATATCTACCACTTGACTGTATTCATCAGGTATTTTATGGCTGCATTCCAATAGCCAATAATGTAATTACCAGCCATTTCCTAATAAAAGTATTCAAATCCTAGTATCTTAATTTAGCCAACCGGTGAAAAGTTAAGTAACCAGGATATGGACAAGTCTTCAGAGGACAATTAGGTCAATCTCAAGAACGTATGGAAATGGTTCTGTAATTAAATGATTTCATTAACAGCGCCTTTTGTGAGCACTCAATTTGTTTAAATCCCGAACTAATAAACTGTCCTTGCATTTTAGATTGTCAGCGCACAAATGCCTTGGCACATAAGTCTGCACTCTGTTGACTGTAATTTGATTCAGCGGAGAGGTGTGTCCGCGATTTGGCTGCAGCCAAGGAAGGCGGAATGAGCTGTGACACTTCAGCAGGTGGAATGGAAGACTCCCCCCACTTTGACACCGCGAGCAGCCAGGGTGTTGTACTCTGCCACAGCCTTCTCCGTTTGCAAGACCAACACATCAATCCCATTTTTCTTCAGATAGTCCACAGTCGATGGTGGAACCTCAGAAGAGAAAAGGAAATGGGGAGAGCAAGTATTAGATTCTTTTGCCCTCACACTGTAAGGCTTGAAGAAAAACAGGTACCAATGGCATTTGTTAGTAGATGCACTTAAGTAATTGATCACAGCCAAACTGATAATATGGTCAGATATTTCTAAGATTGACATAAATTTTTTTCTCTTGAATAAAGTAACTTGTGTACACACACAGAACTCTCCTCAACATGGTTTAAAATGCAGCCCTTTCTTACAAAAACAAATAGAACTGGAGCTAACGGTAATTAATCTAAATAGGGTGTTACCTCACCAAAAGGCTTACGAATTGTTTCTCATGAAATGAAGCTCATCCAGTACCTAAAGGGGGCCTACAGGAGAGCTGGAGAGGAACTTTTTAGAAGGCCACGGAGTGATAGGATGAGGGGGAATGGCTTCAAACTGGAAGAGGGGAGATTCAGATGAGATATTAGGAAGAAATTTTTCACTGTGAGGTTGATGAGGCACTGCCATAGGTTGCCCAGAGAAGCTGTGGCTGCCCCATCCCTGGAGGTGATCAAGGCCAGGTTGGACGGGGCTTGGAGCAACCTGGTCTGGTGGGAGGTGTCCCTGCCCATAGCAGGGGGGTTGGAACTAGATGATCTTCAAGGTCCTTTCCAACCCAAACCATTCTATGATTCCTGAGCTTTCTGTAGCTAGTTTATCCACTGCAGTGACACCCTGCCAACATCAGGAACAAAAAAGCCTAATTATCAAAGTCTTTACAGCAGGCTAGAGAGCTAGTTCATAACCTATTCTAAGAGAGGGGACTAATGACATTGTAAAAAAATCTCCTTGTTTAAATTTAATCTTGGAACATAAACCTGTTTACTGCCTGACATTGGCACTAATACAGAAGAGCTCAAATGATGGTTCTTTCAGGAAGAGAGTGACTCCTGGCAGGAGCTCAGTCATGCTAATTCAGCATCCTGAATTTTTTTCCCCTCTTCATAAAGCATCATAGATTTCCACACACATACCCCTAATCAGAGAGAGAGGGAAAACAAACAGTTCTAGTTTATATTTATCACAGAACAAAAACCTACCTGCAAAGCCTCGCTCATGCCACGACCAATCACCATAGTTTTAACACCCTTCTTGACAACTTCTTCAAGGTCAGCCGGCTGCACTCCTGGAGAATGCTAAGTGTCAGGGGAGGAAAACAATAGTCTGTGTACTGACAGCAACCATCGGGAAAGCTTCATCTGTATGTTTTGAGAATGTCCATAGATTAGCAGGGTGAATTACCAGTACCAAAATGCAACACAACCCTCTTTTCTGCACACACACAGTAGATAACATTGGTAACTAAAAACGATATTTTATGTGCAGATGAAGGATGATAGTTAATCAATTGATGGCAATAGTATCCATCTTTATTAAACAGTTAAAAATAAAGATGCATTACACATTTCTAAAACATTTATGTCTAACAACTAGCATTTTATAAATATTAAAAGTTAAAGTGAAATCAGTAAATTGCAACACATTGCCTTTGTTTTCAAACAAACAAAATCTTTTTGTAATAAAGATAGTGGCCAGCCAAAGTTTACTCACTTTAATTACAAAGAGCTTCTCCAATAATTAAAATTATTAAATTCTTTTCTTGTTTACATTGCAAATCTCATTTACTAAAGAGGACTGAAACATATTGGTTAGCTTCATTGCAGCTAACAGTTTCAATTTCTGCACTACTCTTAATTTTGAGAAAGGAATATTTGAAACCAAACTCCTCAAAGAAAAAAAAAAAAAAGAAGAGCTTTAACAGTACGTTGATTGAGTTTTTAAAGAAGTACACCCATTTACTACTAGTATGCTTTAAACATACAAATTCACAAGTACACCTGTAATGTTATTATAAAACAATATGATGTCTCACTAATTCTCCTCCTGGATTCAATGTATCTCTATATGGCCAAGACTAAGAAAATGTACAACCTGTGGCTAGAATTTGGCCCCTTTTTGGTGTGCAATTTTTAAACCATAAATACTATTCCCCTCCCCATCCCAGCATTTTCTTCTTTTTCTTTTTTTTTTTTGGGGGGGGGAAGAATTCTTAAGTTCTTTCAGAGCACTGAGGTGAGTTTCTCACTTGAAGTAGGCAACACTATGGTGGACTCCTGGAGAATGTTACTCTTATGGAGATGTCCATACATCTTTATCCCCAATATTTCCAGAAATGAATTAAGGTCAGAGCACCAGCTTAACAATTCACCTTTCTGGTTCTCCAAGTTGTGTTCCCCTTAGTCCATTTACATTTGATATCCACGCCTAGGATGCAGAGTTCACTTAAATATGCAGAGATTTCTCAGACCAAATCACTGCAAGTACATGTTTATGACAGAATAGGTAATGCTTTTCCTTCGGGGGTTTTAAAGTAGACTCAAAACTTAGGCAAAAAGAACTGGTATGGTTTACTGCAATTACAATAATTAGATTGCTGGGGAAGGTTTGCTGTCATATGATAAGTACTCCTGAGATATTAAAACCATGGAACAAAAGGATTTTCTTCAGTTACACAAGACGCTGTGATGTGGGAGCTTCCACGTGTTTTGTGGGAAACTAGCGTCATTAAAGGAAACATGTAACATGATGGAATAACTGTATCATTGCTGATTTGACAGCTGGGGGCAGCAGAATTTTTTGCCTGTTTTGTTCTCCGGTCTTCCTTTAGAATTCCTACTTCTTTTCTCCCATTAGTAGACGGCACTGAAATGCAGCCAGCCAGGGAGGCTGCCGGTCACCCCCAAGGGTTAAGGCCATAAGAATGATTCCTGCTTAGTTACAGAACCTTGCAGAGCCAGTTATACAATTTTCCCAATGAAAGAATTACCTACTAGACAGCAGTCTGATAGCAGAGCAGGAAAGGAAGCGATCTATTTCCAACTAGAGTGTGGGACATGACCAACACTGCTTGTTTCCCAAACTTCAGCTCCACCTACCCCCAGGAAAAACACGCTGCAAGAAAGCAGCACATTGTAGTCTACTGTAAAGAAATGGGCAGAAAATGCATCTGGGGAATCCTCCTAATGCCAGTGCTGATTGAATTAATTTTTTTTTTTATAGTTCTTCTAGAGTTGGAGATGCAGTCTAGAAAAGCTTAGTTCTATTCTCATACTTATTGCTTGCTATTAAATTTTAAACTAAATCACCAAACTCCTCATAGCTGCAAGGGGGAATAGAACTGACCTAAAGCAAGAGCTTTACAAGTGACCTATATATAGGTATTTTTTTACTTCCTGATGAAATACAAAGGATGCCAGAAAACCCCCAACTTTAACATAGTCTCATTTTTCTTGTTTCAGTTGGAGGACCCTCCTAAAGACTTTTATGGACTTACAGCTTTTACCTGTCACCTGAAGATATCCCTTGTTAGAAACTTTAAAAGGAAAGCACAGCCTCCTAAATGCTAGTAGGTGGCACTGGAACAGGTTGCCCAGAGAGGCTGTTGAGACCCCATCCCTGGAGATGTTCAAGGCCAGGCTGGACGTGGCCTTGGGCAACCTGGTCTAGTGGGAGGTGTCCCTGCCCATGGCAGGGAGGTTGGAACTCTATGATCTTCAAGGTCCTTTCCAACCTAAACCATTCTATGATTCTATAATTTGAAACCAAAGCTTTCAAGTGGTCAGAATGAATATCAAGATGTGATTGAGCAGGGAACTAGTTGGGAACTTTCAGGCTGCCATGTCTGTTCTGCTTCTCTGGTCATATATGCATATAAACCAGGAAAACAGTATTGTCAAACAAACAAAAATTGATTCTCGCCACATAACCCACACCTCCAGACAGTGAAAACTTAATTTTTTATAATCAGACGATAAATTAAATACATTTAAAAAGGTTACATACACAGCTATCTTTGCATGACAGCACTAGCTTTCTCTTGGCGTTATATACTCTGTAAAAACTGAACTCTGACAGCTTAAAAAAGTTCTGTTCCCCCAAAGATCATAGATGAAGTTCCAAACTCAAAGGTTCTGCCCTTCAGTTGTGTCAGAATGAATTCAACAGAGCTGCATCCTCTGCGTGGGTACAGCCACAGGTGCTGAGTCTAAGACCTGATCAGTATGTAGTTCTTTTGTGCTTTAACTTTTGCTTAGGAAGTATGGATTTTTTTCGAGCCAATACAGCTATCCTAGTGCAAACCCTAGTACAGGAAGAATTATCATCGAGTTCCTAATGCAATAGATGTTATGCTGCTTCTAAATCTGGAACGTCAATACTATTCCGTGTACTTTTATACAATTCTGATAGTATTTACAGATAAAGTTTAAAAATTGTGAGGGCAAGCACTTAGTTTATGGCTACCAAGAGAAGTCATTGCGTGGTTAGCGAGACTGTGAGCTTTTCACGGAGAAACTAGCGCATATGACATTGTATCTGCATATTTTTCCTCTGAGATAAGTACAAGGGACCCCAAGGAAAAGGCTATAAACTAAACCACATGCATTGTTGTCTTCCAAGCACATAAGGTCAGTTACTGTTGATTTGTTTTAACTTCTCATAAATTTTTTTCTGTCTCACTCAACACAACTTTTGTTTACACATTCTGAAAAAAGGTTGTTACCAGCACCTTATGACAATTGCGCTTTTGCTGTTTGAGAACTCTAAGTTGTATGAGAATGGTCTAGTCAGGTGGCTGGGAGGACTGGTGGCAACAGTTGGTACACCCCACCACCCATAGGACCTTGCGTGTCTCCAGTCCTCTGACCTCTCCGCACAGTCACTTCTGAAACACCGAGTTTTTACCAGGAAAGGTCTAACGGTTAGATGAAAGCAAAAAGCAGCTCATTGAATTTCTGGCTGGAACTTTAACAACTGTGCTCTCAACCATTCTCAAGAGTCCTGTTTGAAATGCAGGATGGATAGTAAATGACAAACTTACATTAGTCCCAGTTTCTCGCCAATCCCAGGTTCGGCTTCCTCCCGGCCATACTTTGCAATCCTTATACGTTGTAGAGCAGCCTTTCACCTTCATCTGACCCCAAGAAAGGGAAGCGATTTCAGGGGAAGACATCACAAAGTTGAACCAAAGTCTGGAAAAAGGATATTTAATACAAAACATCAGGCTAACATATGCAGCATGTTAATAAAACCAGAAAATTCTGTCCTTGCCCCAAGGAGCTGGGAAGGAAATGCTATGACAGACTTTATCCATGTGATTTTGTGGCAACAGAATTGAACTGAGGATCAGCAGATTTGTTGAATTACGAGTCCTCTTGGGGATTTTGGGCAAATCATTTTACGTGCTAAATCTGTACAAGTATTGGGTGCTCAACTTTTAAAACTATCAACAGGGCTAAGATCACAGAATATCCTCTCACATCTGGGTTTTCATCTTCCCCCTAACATGTACAATGAAGATGATAACAATTTCCTAAAATATCTGAGAGATACACTGTTTCTTTGGCTGTTTTATTATTTTAAAGCAGTAAATGAGGTTAAAAAAAAAAATCCCAAACAAACCAACCAAATAGAAAAGCCATGAACAAAACAATGGCCTTGCCATATTGCTACAGCAATTAAGACTTTCAGAGACCAAGCCTTCCTTCCCTACTCACTCCTCACAGAGGCCAAGTCTCCCCGTGTAACATCTCAGGACAGTTAAACACGGAAATAATGTCCTTTCTAATGTTTGACCTCAATCTTCATTGTTTCAACTTAAAACCATTATTTCTAATCCTTTCTACTGTGGACACGGAGAACAGCTTAATCTTAGTCTTTTTCACCACCTTCTGTTTTCCAGAGGACTTGACTCTTGGTCTTTTTTCCTTTCTTTTAGATTAAACTTGCCTTCCCTTCAGTCATGTTTTCTAAATCTCTGCATATTTTCCTCTTTTTCCCTGGCAGCCAACAATTAGCATGCATCTTCCTTTGATGTCTTTTGCCTAAAACCAGACAGAGTGCTCCAGCTGAGGCCTTATCAGCGCTGCTATAGACCAACTGTTTTTCGGTATTAACCGCAGAAATTTTTAGATCTGCTATGACAATCACAGCTGGGCATCAGTAGGGCAGGGACTCTGCTTCAGAAATGCCACCCTGAAAGCTTACACCCTCTTTGCTGTCCTTCGCGTGGCTGCAGTCTGATTGCTGGTGGGATTCTGGCAGCAGATGACAAGAGAGGAATCCCGTGGTGATACCCTGGGAACACGTTATAGACTAGCATGGCAGTCAACTGACGCATCTCAAGGGTAGAGGCTGCCCTTCCAATTCAGAAGGAAGATGGTCTGAAATCTGCATTTTGAAGAAAAATTGTTGTTTCTGCAGTAAAAAGAGCTCTGCTCCTGGCTGATCCAGAAAACCTCAGTGGGAGGTCCTTCCAGATAAGCAGTTTCTCATCGTTTACTTTTTAATTGTTCAAATTCACCAGGAAAAATAATAAAATAATCAATCTTAGGAGTGCTGGTGGTATGAATTAAAGAAAAAGCTCACAAAAGAGAAACCTTCAGATTACCAGGCTTCCAGTCCTGCTAGAAGCCTCCCTTCCTGTCTTGCACGTGCTACAGCAAACCACAGTCTGGCCAGACAGGACACGCTCTTCTCGGTTTGCCAGGAGCGGATCTCGGTATCAAACATTTCAAACCTTGCATGAAGTACAAACTGCATTACTTTGGATTTGGCACAGGACTGAGGCTGCAAGAGCTGCTTTTCCACAAAATAATGGAGCGATTCTTTCTTGCACACTCCTTTTTTGAAGTTCGTGGCACAGGTGCCCTGCCAAATAGGAAGCCAGGCAAGCAGCTAGAGGCGTGAAACTTGCTTGGATTCATATATTCTAGATTCTCTCATTACACATCTGCAAGGCGATGGATTCAAACGAAGGTTTGTAAGACTATTTTTCCAAAAATCTGCTTGAAGGGAGATTGTAGCAGAAGAAAGAGCTAGCAGTAGTCCCAACAGAATGAAATCACCCATCAGCCAAAGAGTAAAGGCTGAATAAACCACCCAGAACCTGGCTCTGAAGAATGAAAAGAATTTTTGCTTGCACTAGTTTTGAGAGAAAACAGCAGAATTAGACCTGGGGGTTAGACAGAGGTGAATGAACAATAAAATGATTAGGAATACTGGATTTCCCAATCTCAATCGTATTACAAGGCTGGGACTGTGCAATCAAACAGGCACAAATCGCAAATGGGAGAGCAAGGGTTCCACATTATCTTTTCCAAACAGCACGAAAAAAGTAAACTGCAGAAGTTAAGAAACAAAACTTAAAAGCCATAAATAAAAATCTGTAATCTAAAACTATTTCCCAAATACTGGCAGAGAATATCAGTAAGGGCAGGTTATTTGAATTAGTGAGGGTATCTTAAAGTAGAGTAAAAAAGAACTTTTTAACAGGAACTTTGGACATTCTTGGTGCAGGGCATGGTCCAATCACCAGTCAGCAGGAGTAGGAAAAAAATTCCCCCCCCCAAATGAGTTGGTTTTTTTTTAATTATTCACTATGACAAATATACAATACCAAAATATACAGTACCACTTAAGAGCAAAAGAGACCATGACTCACAAGTATAACCTAAACCAGCAATTTCTGTAAATTGCAGCAGTCCAAACACAAAGAGATGAGGAGGAGAAATGGCTCAGGAATCTATAGCAAAGTTATGAGGGTTTAAAAACATAGGAAATAAAGGAAGCATAAGAGCTTAAAAGCAGGCAAAACACAAGTTTATACAAGGAGACTATATTGAAAGAAAGAAATGAAGCAGTGGCTAAGGATGGCAGAAGAAAAAAAAATAGCTGAGAACGAAACAGAAGAAACTTGATATTGAAGTGCAGTCAGGCAAGCAGGTAGATTTTAAAATTGCCAGCGCCACTGTCTTCTGTGAAGGTAAACATTGTTCCAGGGTAGCGCCCACCAGCAACAAATATAATAAAAAAGGTGAACGAGAGCAGTGCACCAGAGAAATCTTTTATTGAGAGACTGCAGAAGGAAAGAATGTTTCATAAAATCCAAGTCGCAACCTGAGATCAAAGGGGATAAAGGTGAAAGAGTAAATTGGCGTCAGTCAAGAACAAGATATCAAAAGACGAGACAGTTCTCCAGTGCTGCCTGGGAGCAGGGTCACCAGGCGAAGGTGGGCGACTTCCCCGCAGCCGATGCAACTTCAGAAGCGATACAGCAGCTAGAAAAGCAGGTCAGGGTTTAAAAACTGACAGCAGAAATGCAAGCAGAAAAGTTAAAATGAACTGGGTAGAGCAGGGGCAGGTGTCAAGTTCAAGAACTAGGAAAACATTTTTAGGCAACTCGGTAGTCTAATATTGGTGGGGAACTGAGGAAGGAGTTATTGGGGAGGGGTCACGGAGGGTGAGGTGCTTGTAAGAGGCGAGGAGGGAGAACGGTATTTTAGAAACAAGACGGGGAGGAAGGAAGGAGGAAAGGACAGAGAACCCAGAGAAGCATGGAGGGGGATACATCGGCGAGCACACAGGGGGAGGCCGGGGCCAGGCGGCAGGGGG